ATTGTTTGACTAGATGTGTGTTTCCATGAGAAACTTTGTGTCACATCTATAATCTATGGGGCTTTCCAGCCGTTTTCCTGGCGGAACAGCTGCCTCAGAGCTACAGACTCCATAGTAGAAAGAGGTTCTATTCAAAGCTGACAATGAGGTTCAGCATTTCACCAAAATGTCTCTTGGTTTCCTATTTGTTCCACCCACCCTTCTGGCAATTTCCTGAAACCAGGTATAACAACCTGTTGTGGCTCCTCAAGACATGTATTTTCTTGCTGAAATATGCATTTAGCAGCTTTGGACAGGTCCTACTGAGGCTGAACATACCTCCAGACAACCCGGGCTGCTCCGATCTATTGGATGCTCAGGAACCACTTAGGTTGGTATTAGGTGCTGGATCACCCTTTTTTCTGCCCTCAGTGTCATGCTCAGTGGACAGGCCAAGACTGTGATGAGCCACAGAGATCTGGTGACTCCTACAGTTGTTGTTTCTCAAGGGCTTTTTCCTCTTTCTATATGAATAGTATTATGTGTCCCTTCCCTACAGACCTGTGCTGTACAGCTTTCTTGTAGCTTCATTTAGGGAGAAGGAACAGATATGTCTCATACTTTGGAAAATGTTCTCCTAGGAAGATATCATCATTCCTCATGGGAGCCTGAAGGAGGCTGGTGGCTGGTTTTTTTTGCCAGTGGAAGTCTTCATCCTCAAAGGCCGTAGACTTTCTGATTTTGCAGATGAAACGAGGCGTTGTCATGCTATGTGCAGCTAGTGGACCCTTCCTTGGAGGTGCACCTCCTTCGGTTCTGGCCATCAGGAGTGCACCATCTTCAAAGGTCTTGACTCCCTAGCAGCAGAGCCATCCATGTAGAGCAGACCAAGACCTTGTGAACAGGCTTCAGAGTGGCTCTGCTCAAGCTTGCCTCGCCCTTCGTGGAGCAAACACAGAATTACAAAAGCACTGAGTCGCTTGAAAGCTGTGTCCAAGCTGGGGGAAGACAGCATGTGACAGCGCCAGGTTTCTGTTCAGTGCTCCCATCATCTGGCAGCACTGCAGCTTGCATTCAGTTTTTCACACATGTGAATGTATAACATGACCTCCCCGTGCCCTTGGACTGTCCTGATTGTTTCCTTTGCCCTCTGTGGCTGAGCCAGCATTGGTTTTGTTCACTAAGTGATGAACTTCAAATCTTCTTTGCCTGACTGGGCTAGAATAAGTGTGTAAATGCTGTTCTTGCAGAACTGATGGGGACAGCCTGGAAATGGTGGCTGAAACTCACGCTTACCTTATTGGGTGATGTGATGTGATGTGGCAACTTAGGTCTTTTTGTGGTGCCGGAAGGGCTGTTTTGAAAGCTGACTGGTGCTGCTTGCCCATTCAGCAAATGATCCCCGCCTGTTGTGTTCATGCTGGAAGTAGCTCACACATTTTGCCAGGAAGGGTGAGAACGTGATTGCTGAAAAGAAAAAAACAACACCAAACCCAAAACAAAACACTGTGTTAGCTCTGTATCAGGTTATAATGGAAAAGAGTATCCAGATCTTTCTGATTTTTGCAGAGTTAGCTTGGGGGTCTGTCCTGGTTTCAGCTGGGATAGAGTTAGTTTTCTTCTTAGTAGCTGGTAGAGCGCTGTGTTTTGGATTTAGGATGAGAATAATGTTGATAACGTACTGATGTTTTGGTTCTTGCTGAGCAGAGTTTACACTAGTCAAGGACTTTTCAGCTTCTTGTGCTCTGCCAGGTGCACAAGAAGCTGGGAGGGAGCATAGCTAGGACAGCTGACCCAAACTGGCCAAAGGGCTATTCCATACCATATGACGTCATGCTCAGTATATAAGCTGGGGGAAGAAGAAGGAAGGGGGGGACATTGGGCGTGATGGCGTTTGTCTTCCCAAGTAACCGTTACGCGTGATGGAGCCCTGCTTTCCTGAGGATGGCTGAACACCTGCCTGCCGACGGGAAGTAGTGAATGAATTCCTTGCTTTGCTTGTGCGCGCGGCTTTTGCTTTACCCATTAAACTGTCTTTATCTCAGCCCATGAGTTTTCTCACTTTTACTCTTCTGATTCTCTCCCCATCCCACCGGGGGGGAGTGAGTGAGCGGCTGTGTGGTGCCTAGTAGCTGGCTGGGGTTAAACCACGACAGGGTCTGTCTACTGCAGGGGTTTCTCAACCCACGTACTGCACCATGGGCATGCTTTCGAGTCATCCCCGTAAGGTCTGAGCTCAGGTCTTCATGAGTAATAGACCCTCAACAAACCAGGATTGCAGATGGGCAGGAGGCAGAGTATGGGACCAGCTCGTGGTTGGAAGGGGCAATGCCACATCCAGATCAGTAGGTCCACCTTGGACATACATAGTTCTTCTTCCAGGTGACCGTTACAGAAGTAACCAAATAACACTTAGGCTGGGGTAGTGATGTTCCTGTGGTGTTGCGCATGTGCTCCTCAGCCTCCTGCCTCTGCTTGTGGACTATCATGGTTCTGTGGAGCTAAGCTGTGGCTATCTGCACCCTTGGTTTGAGTCATTCAGTTTACATTAAGCTATCTGTATGTAATGAATGGGTGGCTTCTCTGGTTGTTTTGATAAAAGAAGAGTTTGGGGAAGACTTTGAGTTTGGCATCTAGCACCCATTCTTTATGTTCTGCACAGGATAAAACATTTAAAGTATTAAATAAGGACCAGGTCGCGAACAAGCCCCGCTCATAGCAGAGTGATCGGAAATGATGGAATCCTCTTCCCTTCTTCTCCAAAACCAGGCAAAATAGTCAGGCTTAAAAAACATAAATAACCCCCCCGACTGTTACTCAGTGAGCCTAATATGACCCCACTGACTACCTGCTGTTCTCTTGAAGTGTTCGAAAATGAAATGCTGTCACGTATCCAGCCTGATTTTACTCGCTGATTAAGCAAGCTCCTTAAGCTTAGAAATTTCTAACAAGCTTGAGTGCTCTCTAGGACCTGTGAGAAACAACTTTATCTTTGTGTCTACAAGACAGGGCATTAAGTGGTGGTAAAAAATGAACTTTTAGATCTGTCCCGTCCTCTTGGTGCTCTGGGGTGAGAGATGGCTCGCTGCTGTCTTATTTTGCTTTTTTCCTGGCTCAGTTGCCTTCCCTGGGAGGGGCCAGGAGGAATTTGGATTCCAGCTTTTTGACCTGTTTGCATGCTTAGAGCTTTCCTCTGGGACGAATCGCCAGTGTTCCTGCAAAAAACAGCTTTATGGTCATGCAGACCTTGATGTATGAAAACTTGCAAACTAATGAGATTATGGATTTTTTTAATGTTTCCCATTTTTCAGACAAATAAAATTTAAGAGGCAGTGGTTACTAAGGAGAAAACATTGTCATTCATCTGTGCAGTCAGTTGTGTCTGGATCCAAACAACCACTTAAAACCAGGCCAGCTAACCATTTAAATTGCAAAGCGTCCCTTGTTCTATGATGCTATTTCACCCCAAGCTCCAGGATGACGTAGAAAGGGAGTTCCTAAGCAGAGTTTGGTGACTTTAGGGAGCTCAAACTCTTATTCAGCAAGGAATCCACCCAGTGTGAAGCTTAAAAAGTAGATGTTCCCACCTAACATAGTCATTCCATCTGGGTGACCTTTCTATCATCCATGCTGAGATGCTTGAGGTATTTCTTCCCATGAAGTGTAAAGTAGGGTTAGGCTTCTGCGTCTGACTTCCTGACGTCTCAACACAAGGAGAATGAATCTCACCTATTGTTTGTAGCAATCAGGGTAGAGGTTCAGGACGTCTTAGAGTACGTCACCAGCAGATAGCCTGAGTTCAGCTCTTCCTGGAAACAGTGCAAAGACTCTAGTTACCTCTCCATTAGTAAATAAATTAGGTCTACCACTATAGCCAAGTGGTTATTGCGTAAACTATACGTAGCTAATTTCTCCTTACCTCCCAAAACAGCACAACTATGTGCAAGCTACCCGTTTCAAAGAGAATTGTCTGGGAGAGGCGCTAGTTGGCACACATCAAAACTGTGCCAAAGTCTCTGCCACCAATTTAGCAATGTAAATCTTTCCAGCATAATGCTATATCCTCCTTTGCTTATTATTGTGAACATAGCCTTTGAGTGTGCACTACAACCAGGCTAAGGATAAATGTGGACAGACCATTTTCAGTCCCTTGAGTTTGCTGTTTTGCTTCACAAAGTTAAAAGAATCTCGGAGTTTTGTATTTTTATCACCATTAGTAATATCAGCTGATTCTGCCCACAGTAGCTTCACCACCTGGCCTTTTTCCAGAGCAGACTTTTATGACATGCCATTAGCTGGCTGTGTTCACTTCCTCTGATAAATTTCTTTCAGGACGTAAGGCTAGGAAGGAGGAAGCTACTGGAGTTTGCTCACATGGGTTTGCTGCCTTCTTTTTCTAAGTGCTGCCCACTTCCACTTTAGGCAACCTTTCCTTGTTGACGCAGCAGTTGTGACATTTAACCAGCAGTGCAGTGTCCTACTCAGAAAGGAGTAACACCAGATCTCCGTTCCTCTGGAGGGCTGGATGTTTGGGCATGGCTGGCGCAGCTCTGCAGCTCCGTACAATAGCTTTTAATGCCAAAAGGTGCAGACTGGGGCACCTGAGCAGAAAACTGGTGAGAGATACGGGAAGAGATGCTCTGCTTCATCTTTTTCTGCCTTGTACTTCAGAGATTTTCTTCTGGGAAAATGAATCTGGCACTAAGCAGCATTAACACATATCAAGAAGTTTAGAGCCTTTGTAGAAGACATGCTGTGGCCCACCTGAGAAGATCTTCAGTTGGGGCATCTGGAAAATGGGCTGTAGCCTCGGTGGTCTTCTGAGACACCAGCTCATGTTGAGCTATTGGGTTTCCATTTCTTCTTCTAAGATTTTCAAATGCTTTTTGGGGACAGCAATTATACCTGTGTGTGCTGTCACAAGCAGGAAAGGCTGATGGTTTGCAGTGAGCACTGAAGCCTTGGTAGATGGATACTCTTGCAAGGGAGTTTATGTGTGCCTTCTGTGTTGTGTCCAGGACATGTGCATGACTGAAGCAACTGCATCTCTGCTCCAAGTGGAAGAAACCTTCTCAGCATGCCTGGCACGGATAGATGCCCTCATCCTCAAGCCTCTGCTCCAGGCAGGTAGGTCAGAGCAGACTACTTTTTTGTCTCTAGTTCTAGCCTTGAGTCACAGGCACACCTATGAAGGGAATTATAATTGAAAGTCCATGGCTGAGGACTTTGCTGGGGGCTGTTTTTCTGGAGTAAGTGGTATATAGGGTTGTTTCATTTAAGGTACTGAGCTCTTAAGGATGCCTATGGCCTTTCCTTCAAGCCTGGGACTGTGGTTCCTGTTGTTTTCAGAGGTTAATCCAGATTCTAACCAGTGTCAGCCTGTACACCCACTCCAAGTCTTGTTTCCAGCATGGTGCATGGACATACAAAATGCATCTCACATATATGCAACCCCTAAACTGTGCCCATTCTGTTCCCTGCTCTCGGTTCACGGTCATGCCCATCTTTGAAGGTAAAACTTGTGGGTGCAGGTTCTGAGCTGGCAGTAAATCAGAGTAGCTCCACTGAAATAACAAATCCATATAAATATTCACAAGCCTGTCTGGCCAAAAGTGGTGAGACTGGATTAGACCCGTAGGGTGGTTCCCTTTTCATGCCACCACCTTTTTGGTCTTGCCTCCAAGGAAACTGGGAACAGCCTTTTCAGCCAGGGGCAGAAAATTTTCTTCTGGTGCTCGTGTCTGAGCTGGGGCTGAGCCTCGCAGGCTGCCCTGACCACATGCCCCACAAGAATAGGAAGGACAAAGCCTTAGCATGGAAAGCCCATGCAATTACTCACAGGGACACAACCCTAAATAATAACCATCTCCGTCCTCCATGGCATTGTTTTCCTATGTGCTTTACATTGAAAAATTGGGCTGAGTATTAAATATAGGCAATGTTTTCCACAAGCTTTCTTGGAGCCAAGGCTTTCTGATAGCCTTTTTTCCCCCATCTTTTCCTCAAAGAGCCTAGTGACCAGAAGGGAAAGGAGAACTTCAAGCTCTTCTTCCTCCTGAATGACCGATTTCAAGCTCTCTGGAACCTCACAGAAGAAAATTACCGGATACTGAAACAAAAATGCAGCAACTCTGAATCATTCTGCATCCAGGACATTTACACTGTCTGGAAAGGAGACCTGTTTCTAAGCCTCTATATCCAGTAAGTACAGAAGCACTTTGTAGTAGTGTAAGGGACCAAATTTATCAACTAACTGGTAGGTCAGTGCAATGAATTCGTGCATTTAATTTGTTCAGTCCTATCCACTAGTGTTCAGTCATTAGGTCAGGGAAGTGATTGCATTTAGTGCTCACAAGTGCTACAGAATATAGTGTCTGTGGAGGTAGTGTAACAAGTAGCCTTTTTTGTAGCTGTGGGTATGCTTGTAAGAGGCAGAATTTTTTCTTGCAAGTATAGCGGGGTTTTTAATGCACTTTTTTAAAAATGGGAAGTGGACGGGGGGTAGAATCTGTGCCTGGGTAATTTATGAGAGCGAAGCTTGCGCTGTCATGAGGACCAGAAAGGCATGCTCGGGCAGGTTTAAAGGACTCATAAAGATGAGGAGAGAAGATGTCACTAGACACAGTTCATATTACGCGTTTGTGCTGCATTTTGATGCTTTTGGCAAGGGATATGATAGCAAGTGATGGATGTAGCATGATGTGAAAAATATGCTGCCCCATTGCTGTTTCTGTAATTAATTACATCTACTCCCCATCTGCCTGCAACGCAGAATAAAATGTTTATCAAAAGCACTGTACCGTGTGTAACCTGTGTGTTGATGTCCTATCCTGAAAAATGGTTTATGGACATCTGAGATGACATAAAGATCAGACAGTGTTCAATCCTTCATTCGTCACATTGGCCATAAATGTGGTCAAGCCTTTGCCAGATGGGCTTGTACCATCTGTGCAGTTTGGCACCCACACAGGAACGGGCAATGGGCATGCTGGCTTCTGGACGTTGCTGTTCATCTAGTCTTGGTTTTGGTGGGTTTTATGCACGTGGAGGGAGGAGGAAGTAAGGACTACTTTTTGTTGTACTTGGACAGCATCATTTTAGAAAGTGATGCACAACAAGTTTTGCCTTTATGTGAATGGGGTTTGGACCAGTGTGTGTTGTTCATTTGGGAACTGATTCAGTGAATTAAAACAGGTTTGCCTTAAAAAGTCATACAAAAGATGAAAACTTGTGCTGAGGTTTCAGATACCACAAAGGATAAGTTTATCTTAAGATCTAATTTCCCCTAATTTTGAAATTAAAACCTGTTTTTTGTTGAGCGTCATGCAAAAAAAAAAAAAGGAGCTGGTTCCTACCCACCTCTGCTGACTCACTCCATGCAGCCCTGATCCTACAACGTCTCATGCTTATTGGAGTGATACAGAAGGAAGCAAAGCCGCTGTTCATGGGGCTGAAAATCAGCAGTAAATACATGTCCCTGAAAGATGTAATAAATGATAATTAGTGTGGACATTATACATGACTTCTCTGAAAACACTACTGGAAGAAAGTGTGGTATTTGCTGGCAAAATATGGCTCGATCTCCCTCTAGTGTGAGATGAGGTACATTGGCGTGGGACACCTTGACTTGAATTCACCGTCAGTAATACAGACCTGATACTTTTACGCCAGCCAACAGAAATTCATATGTCTGAAGCTGATACCTTAAGCTCGGCCTTTGTAGATTTGCTTTCCAGGGCAGCTGCGCAAGTTTACTTCTGCTTATGCTAGATGTCAGGGTGATTTAAACTTCCTGTAACGATACTAGTGCAAAAGTCAACAAGGCAGTTAAACCAAGGAGCTGGCAAAGGGGACAAAAGCGAAGTGAGCCAAGCTGAGAGGTACGGTAGCTACGTCTCTCTCTGCCTCCCTTGGAAAGATGGACTTGACATGACATTTTCAAATGAGCTTCTCCCCCTCTATCGCTTAAACCTCATAGCTAATGTGCATCTCTAACTCAGCTCGTGCTTGTGTGTGTTTGTTTTTTTTTTTCTTGCCAACAGATATTTTGTCACTTTTGCCAACTACGTTGTAGTTCACGGCTTCGAACATGCCACAAAAAGCAAAAGGTCAGTGGGCTGAAAAATGCTTATTGAAGGGGCTGATAGGAACACAATGATATTTTATGGGTTAAGACACTAAACTGGAGTGAGCAGCACTGAGCACTGCACCTCGCAGTGATCTCCTTTTCACAGACCAGCTGCCTCTCCTCTGAACCAGCCATACTGGCTGCTCCTGCCATCTTCTGAGACCGCTGCAGCAGTTGTTGAAAGGTTTCCTCTACAGATCTTTCTCCATCTCTTTGTAGCCACGCACAACTCCTTTTGTAGGAGAGGAAGCCTGTAAATTTGGAATTTGGGGATTCGGGTAAGGGGTGGGACCTGAGAAAGGATGATGTGGGAATCTGGCAGGAAATTTCCACTGCTTGTCCCAGATGTTGTCAGAGTCTCATGGAAATAGTAAATGAAAACATGAGCACTAGATATGATCAGATGCATAGTCACTTTGTCTGAGTCACCCTCTTAGCGTGACTTTCATGATGGCTTGCACACCATATTCTGTATATCTGTGGGTGTGGTTCCTATTTGCAAAGACCACTGGGCCAGAGGCGGGATGGATGGAGCTCTTGTTTGCCTCATTGCCTTATTTCTCTGTGTTTGGTGTGCAAATATATTTGCACTGTATTATCTGCTGCTCTTTTAAGTCTTTCTATACCCTCTCTGGGATTGAGGTAGCACGTGAAGTTTGGAAGGCAGAAAAGTGGCAATTTGCAGATAAACTAATTAATGAACCTTTGTCTTGATTCACCATCTTGCAGTGAAGCCTGGAAGCATCATAAGACAGTGCTGAAACAATTCCTCACAGACTTCACTTCTGAGACCTCCATGTCACTGGCCTTATACACTGTTCTTCACAAACCTATCCGGGATCACATCGAGCAATATATACTGCTCCTTACCAAGCTGAATGAGGTTCTCAAGGAGGTAGGAAGCTTTATGTGATGTTACTTGACTGGCTTATGCTAAAATCTTATGCAGAGCTTTGTGGTGGTGTCGTTGAATCCAAAGTTGGCTGGAAGTAAAGGATTTCCAGGGGACAGCTGGGGTGGTAACAATCAGCACCAGTGGAGTGCAGCCCACCTGAAGGTCTCGAAGCAACAAACAGTGGCCACTCCAGCATAGTACAAGCTACGCATCATATAAAGGAACTGCAAAGGGTCAAGTAAGTGGCCTAAGGTTGCATGCTTCTGCTGGTGGCAGAGATAATGCTAGATTTGGGAGGCTCTCCTTGGAAATGGGGTTGGAGGGTTAACTCTCACTACCCCTTTGAATTCAGAACTGCTGAGACTTTTCTGCAGCTGTAGCCCAGAGAGTAGATGTCCTGCACAGCCATGCCTAAAGCGTTGCTCAAGCCCTGCCTTCTTTTATCAGGGCTCTGAAAAGGACGTGGTTACCAGTGCCATCAAGGAATATGTGAAGCTGGAGTCTTTCATCAGCCAAGTCCTGGATGAAGCTTGTTTTACCAAATCCTTATGGAAATCCTTGGGCTACAAATTCACAGTGAGTCATGGATATAGAAAGTGGCTTGATGGGGAGCTCTTTTGGAGGTCTTACACTTCTGCTTACACATGGAGGAAATTTAATACTGATCAAGCATTTGAGGCTTGGTTTGGAAGCCAACAGAGCAGGGCAGTGTGGAAGCCTTGGAGAAACTATATGGACACTGGGTGCTTTAGAAATTGAGCCCTGTGTCCAGTTCTGCTGTCACTGTCAGCTTGTGCCATGAGTCAGACAGTCTCTGGACGAACTGTTGAGTTGTATGTCCTCTCCCAAATCCTGATGTTTCTTGATGCTTTTGATCCACCACCTCGACCTCTGTGGTTCCCTCTGCAGGACATGCTCTGCGTACCTGAAAGGAGGCTGCTGGAAGATAGCAAAAATCTTCCCATCTCTGCCAGCACGAATCGATCAGACCGGATCTTGCTCTTCGATGATGTCCTTGTGCTAATTCAGGTGAGTCTTCAGTCTTTCAGAGGGATTGGAAGGGCAGCACAGATCAAAGACAGTAAAATTTAGGTTCCTTTGATGTTGAAAATGCAGCAGAGCTTGGCTGGTGGCAAAACCTTGTCTCAGACCCATGCACCTGTGGTTTGCACCGGAGAACAAAAGAAAGCCTAATGAAGAAGGGATAGAGGAGTGTCCACATAACTTGTTCTCCAGTAAATATGTACTGTCCAGCCACAAGCACTTTTCTAGTAACCCAAGCCCATGCCTGCGTATGAATCTGTTGATTTCTGTCCTTGCTTATTCAAAGGGGGCCTGATGGGTCAAAGATATTATACTGTAGACACTCATGCACAGGACTAAATATGATCTTTCATGGTTGACTCTGCTAGTGGCATGGGCGCAGAAGTTGTAGGTGTTCTTGGGGCCATTTCAGGTATTTAGGGCCTGGGTGTGGGGCAGACAGGGAGTGTCTACAGCCATGGACAGCTAGATGAAAAATACGTGTTCAAAGCTGTTCTGCAGCATGTTAACTAAGTCCAGCTTGGCTTGCTCTGACTGACAGCTCCTGTAATCGAGCACAGCTCTCTTCATGTGCACCTCTCCCTGCTTGCTCTTTAGTCATGTGCCAACCCCTCAGGTGTCCAAACACATGACTCCCTTGTGAGCTGATAGATACTATGGGCTCTTCCAAACACGACCCTTTATGATAATGCTGGGCAGTCCTACGCAGCTTGCAGGGTCTAGGCCTGAGGAAATGGGTTGGCAATTATCTCATCCAACTTTACATTGTAGATTTCTTAGCACTGTAGTGATCTTGCTGTAAGCAAGTGCCCCCAGGCTCCCTTTATAGATAGGTGAGAGAAACATGCTCTGTCTGGGTGTGGTTCATCTGACCTATTTTAGATGCCAAAATTAGGATGAGTTGAATCACGTCCTCAACTCCATTGACTAGGATGAGAGCACAGGGTAACCAGCTCACACAGAGATATCTACGTTGTAGACATCTCTGTTCAGTCAACGGTTCTCACTCACTATGTCTCATCTGTTGCTATGACTGTTATTGAGGCTTGTGGAGATATAACTGGACTGGGATTGAACTGGTTAGCTTGGACTGCTAGCAGGGGACTGCCAAGAGGACACTGATGCTGGGGAACCTGAATCTTCCTTCCTTTCCTGTTCCCCCAAATCTGGTAGATACATCGGTGATTAACTCACAGTGAACTCCATAGTGCTAGTACCTAACCTTGGTCAGCTACATCCTTACAGACAGCAGCTCTGTAGTGTGGGCACCTGGACTTTAGACAGGAAAGGGAGATGTAATATTAAATGCAGTCTTTACCTAATACTTCAACCATTTTAATTTCTTCTGTTTGGTGTGCTATTGATCAAAATAGTGACTCCTTAAAAGTTGTACTTGTGGGCCACTATTGGCTGTGCCATCTGGAGTCCAAATCCTAGACAGATCATAAATAAAACTAGGGCATACTGGGTGCCAGGGATGATTTGAGAGTGTTGTCATGTGATAGGGAAGAAATTCTTGTAGAGGTAACTGCCGTCTAAGGTCTGTTACTGTTAGTTGTAGCCATGGCATTATGGAACATCACTTATAAGTGTTAAACTAAGAACTTTCTTCCTTCTCCTACATTTTTTCAGTCTCTGAGGTCTGTCATCGTAGTGTGGGATAGATGTGTGGACCACAAAAGAGGGAATTTACAGTGCTGCCAGTCTTGCTCTGCTGTTCAATGGATTGACGGAGCGGGGGCAAAGTGTGATGTCTACATCAATAACAGGAACATCTTGTCCCTTTTGTTCCAGGGAAACGGCTTTCAGAGTTTTGATCTGAAGCTTGTGTGGGTAGATGAAAACTGCAGGGAGAAATCAGCTCCAGGACTGTAAGTGAAAAATTTCCACTTGGAGAGGAAAAAAAAACGTGTTCAACTTGATTGTGAAACTGAGGCAACAATTTAAAACTTTGATCTCCTTTCCACCCAGTGGGATTGGTTCTGGGCTATGGGTAACTGCACCACCTCTTCGATGGGATCACAGCAGCTTGGGCTTGCATTGCTTGTATTTGCTGACATCTTGAAATCAATCGGTAATAAAATGGTTTTGGCTGCAGATGTAGAGAGCAAAGATGAGTTGACTAATTGAGTACTTCTTCAGAAGGAAAAACTGACTGCAAAAGCACCGTTATCCTCTGAAGAGGAATGGGAAAAGCAGGAACTGCTGTCTCACTGAGAAATGTGTTTTTCATAGTCTCTGTAATGTCTTTTGCTTCACAGGTATGGACTCCGCATTATAACCCCAGAAGAAATGTTCTTTCTCTCTGCCAAAGACCCGCAGATGAAGGTTAGCAGTGGACAGTGTGTTTCTGTTCCACCTGAAATACCACGTACTGAGCCTTGAAACAGGGGAATGGCATAGAGGGGATAGCAGCTCTGTAATGGGCGCAAAACGTTGATTACTGAGTGGAAGTGGAAATCTCATTAAGCATCAGGATTTTACCTTTCTGACCAGAATACAGATGAGTGGGATCTGCACCTGCTTAAATAATGCAGCTGAGGCATTTCCTCTGTGATTTTTTTGCCATTTTTTCTTATTAATTAATGCAAAATAACAAGTGGTGTGGCTTTTTTTTTTTTTTCTTTTTCACTTTCTTCTGTGGAGCCAATACCTCATTAGATGGTCAGAGGTGGCTTAGACAGTTGATGGTAGAAGAAAAATATCCAGGTGCTGGAAGTTGTCTGCCCTGGGCAGTACTATATGCTGCAGAGCTTGGGACAGTACAGTCTCAGCAGCATGGTCCTGTGCCAAGGCCAATTAGTGGTGGTGAGGGTCAGGCTTAAATGACATGGAAGTGTTGTGGATTGATGCAGTATCCCACTTGCAGGACCCAAGATAACACCTCCTGTTGATGCTGTAGATGGGCCGTAAGTCACCAGCCCAGCCAGCTGTATGGCACAGGATTGATGGGAAACCAACAGCTTCTTGCTGCTTCTCCTGAAGTATCTCTTCTTGGGAGCTGTTTTTCTTTCTTCACTTTTTAGTCCAGCACTCCTCTTCCTCTGCCCCCAGGCTGTTTGGCAGTGGAAGCTGAACCAGGCTGTCCGCCAGGCGCTGAATGGGAAACGAGATTTCCCATTGTGGGGCAAGACTGGTGAAGGCACCGACCCCCCATCCTGCCGCATCTTCACCTACGTCTTCAGGCTGGAGGGCAAGTTCAAGAACGCATCCTACGAGGGCGAGTGGCACTTGGGAAAGCCGCATGGCAAGTAAGGAGCCTTTTTTGCCCCTTTTCTAAGCAAGAACATGCAAGGATGGCTCTGCTGTCTTTTGTGTAGCACTGCCTGGATCCAGTGGATGCACAGGTGGAGGTATAGATGCCACAGAGTGGCTGTGGACATGGGGTGATCCATCCCATGCTGAAGGCCTGGACTACAGACTGTATGCTGGTGATCTCCCAGGGTGTGCCAGCCTCTCTGGTTCCTGTCTCACTTGTTTCCAGAGGAAAATCTGGTATCGAGGACAGATTCAGGGGGCAGTTGGGACACATTTGCTTGCATTCAGGGCTTGGTCAAAGCATGAGTCCAGCCACGTGATCTATTGTATTGTAGATGTCTCGCTAGTGATACTGGTTTACACAGTAAATTATAGAGGCTGCCCCTAATAATGTGGTAATGATCACATCGAAGGTGCTGCATTGGCTTATGCCTGTAATTAGGACTTAGTCTTGTGCTAATGTTTATTTTCAAGATCTCAGCCTGAGGCAGAAAATCTTATCGTCATGATGACAAAAAAAAAAAAAACAAAAAAACCCCAACAAAACCCTTTGCTTGCAAGTGAGGGAAAAGTTTTATCCTGTGCTATCAAAGTATATTTTAATATCCAAATTATTATCAAAGAAATTAAAAAAAAAAAAGTCAGTAAATACAAAAGATGCTCAAATGCATTTCTTGGGAATATGAGAACTGTTCACTAAATCCAACTGAAGTTTAAGAGTGAGCTCTGCCAAAAGGGAAGGGTCTGTATATCAAAGGTTAAATGGTCCTAACCAAAATCTCTTTCACATAGGATAGAGCACAGTCTCTGTTTTTGTGAAGAAACATGAAATATGACCAGCCTCTTCAGACACCAAAACAGGCTGATTTGGAAGTTTTATACTTCCTGAGTTCTACAGTTTGTTTGCAGTTGCTACTGAAGCAAAAAGGATGTAGAGACTTGGTTTGAAAGAACCTTAAAATAATCTGAATGTCCAAAAGCTTAATCTTGAATCTCCTGTGGAAGAGATTATGACTTGCCTCATAATAGCATTAAATAGGTGTTTGGAGTAGAGCTATGCCTGAGGCAGTCCTTTACATCATCCCCACCTTCCCCAGCACCTGCACTCCTAACAGAGATCTGAAAACCCCTGTGTGCAGACACCGAGGGACAAGCACCTCTCCTTGCTCTTTGTCTCCTCCTGTCTTAGGGTTGGAGAAATGAGATGAATAAATACCTCTGGTGCTTCAGATTAAGTACCTTGACTGAGGCATCCCAGGAAATTTGTAGCAGAAACAAGTGACTTCAGGTGCTTTTAATGCCTGGGCTTTTAATTGCTTAATTACTAAGCTGTCCTTCCGACTCCTGAAATTGCTCTTCTGTCGGAATTGCTACGAATACAAGGTTACAGAGCAGCGAAGCCAGCCTTGATGGCTTGTCCACCTCTGAGTGAGATGCTGGCATGGCAAAGCACATGAGCAGAAAGCTGCAGCAGTGTGAATCAGGGCTTTTCAGCAAACACATCTGTGTCCTTCACTGTTCTGTCCCAGTACTCCTGCTAACATCGTCTGATGGAAGGAGATACTCCCACTGAGAAGTAGCTTAAACCATCCCCATGGCTGCAGTAGGCATTCTCTGTGGTTTATAGAATCGTTTAGGTTGGAAAAGACCCTTAAGATCATCGAATCCAACTGTTAACCTAACACTGCCAAGTTCACGACTAAACCGTGTCCTTAATCACCACATCTACCCATCTTTTAAATACCTCCAGGGATGGGGACTCAACCACTTCCCTGGGCAGCTGGTTCCAGTGCCTGACTACCCTTTCAGTGAAGAAATTTTTCCTAATATCCAGCCTAAACCTCCCTCTGGCGCAGCTTGAGGCTGTTTCCTCTCGTCCTATCACTCGTTACTAGGGAGAAGAGACCGACCCCCACCTCGCTACAACCTCCCTTCAAACAGTTGTAGAGAGCAATAAGGTCTCCCCTCAGCCCCTTCTTTGCCAGACTAAACAACCCCAGCTCCCTCAGCTGCTCCTTGTAAGACTTGCTCTCTAGACTCTTCACCAACTTTGTTGCCCTCCTCTGGACACGCTCCAGCACCTCGATGTCCTTCTTGTAGTGAGGGGCCCAAAACTGAACACAGCACTCGAGGTGCATCCTCACCATGGCTATTGACCAATAACCCCAGGTCCTTTTCTGCTGGGTGTCTCTCCAGCCACTCTTCCCCAAGCCTGTGGCATTGCCTGGGGTTGTTGAGACCCAAGTGCAGGACCCGGCACTGAGCCTTGTTGAACCTCATACAGTTGGCCTGGGCCCATCGATCCAGCAATCAATCCAGTTTGCTCTCCTTTGCTAGCATTCGTACTAGCAAAGCAAAAGGATATGTAAATTAAAAGGATATGTAATTAAAATTAATCTGAGCGCTTCTCTGGAAATACCAGAAAAAGAGCCTGTCTTGTGTAGGTGTTTAAAGCAACAACCTTGGTGAAAGTCGAAGAAATGCGTCACGGTTTTGGTACTGCACCATCTTCTATTGTCTTTGGTTGAGGAATGTGTAGGGAGCTGGCTGTGTCTGGGATGATGCAAGAGTCAAAACAGTGAGTGGGTGTGGGTGGAGTGGGAGATGGGGAGGAAGGGAAATGCAGTCACAACTGGGCATGACCACGCAATACTTTGACCATCGCATTGACTGTTCCAGTCTCGTTGTTGCATTGTTAACTCCTGTAATCATTTCTGCAACCCCCCCCACAAAACAGAGGGAAAGATGTGATCCCTTTAGGCCAGTGCTTGTCTCTTGTTTTCATAGTGCCTGGCACAATGAAGTTCTGGACCGTAGCATCATTATGTTGTCTAGGGAATGTGCCATGCTGGAACTTCAGCTGGCTTAATCACATGCTGCACTGCAATTACAAAAGGATCACGTTCAAGGTCCTAAATGGATGACTCAGCAACTCTCTAAAATGCTTTTTGAGATTAGGAAACATGGAAGAGGATTATTCCCGCTCATTCCAGGGCAGGAAAACATTATGGTATTAAATCCTTACAGTGCAAGCCAAGGTCCCAGAGGTGCCTGGAGAACTTCTCTGTCTCGTTCCCTGAGGAAATGTTTTGATGTTAGCTATTTCTAGTTGTGCCTCGATACCTTCAGTTGCAGCTGTGAATGTTGCTGGTGATCTCCCTTGTGTAATGCTTACTTCGAATTGCAGGGGGACACTGAAGTGGTGCAATGGACGCAACCATGTTGGAGATTTCAAAGAGGGCTTGGAGCATGGGTAAGCCTTAAAAAACCAGGGTGTGTTTTGCTTTCAAAATAAGCTAAGAAATGGTACCTCCCAGAGGTACAGGGACACTGGTGTCTTATTAGAGGGACTGTATTCACAGTTACAGCCCAATTCATCTGACCTTTTTTAGACACCTGGCTCAAGATTGAGTAGGTTGTAACCTGGAGTATGCGCAGATGACCTGTTCAGATGCAAACATCTCCGTTCAGCA